GAGTAGGAAAAGCTCATCATGAGAAAACAAATAGCAGCACATCAGCGAGCCAAAAACATTTGGGGGGCAACGGACGAAGAAATATACTATCCGAACATGGCATGTTAAATTAATTTCTCGTATCTCTAACAGTAATAGTTGGGTGATCAGTATTATACCAAAAATTTCATTCTACATAACTTGGATAAAGAACAAAGGCAATCGAAAAGGGGGAAAAAGAACATTAAGCTCAATTTGCTATCAAGGACTAAAATCAGATTAACGAAGCCTAAATTAGTTTTTTCTTCTGGAAAAATCTCTTCAAATACATTATCTGTGCCACTGAAACTGAAATGCAGACGCCCAAGGACATGATACTGAACCAGGCCACCCTGGCATTTGTTGTTTCACTAACCGATCGCATCTCTGCTTCTCTGAAAAGAAAAAGAAATTAGTGATCAATAACCAATGAAAGAGAACAGAAAAGAAAAGATACGACCATTAAGCACAAGAACTAATGGACCATTTACAACTCAATACACACTGTACCTGGACTTGAGATATATTAAATTTTCGTGAATGGCCTCCACTGCTCCTTCAAGCTTTCGTAGCTCAAGCTCAACACCCTAATATGGCCAAAGAAAAAAAGCAGTTAGCCAGAACACTACCATAACTCTTACTAAAATCAGAACATGCTTCCACATTGCTACCTAGGGTAATCATTCAAACCACAGATAAAAGTAGGCCTCTATTTTTTCCCAAACAAAGCAGCAATATCAAGGTGGTGGTCTAACAGGTTTGAATTTTCCCAAAAAAAAAAAGAAGATAATCGAAATGCATTTTACCAAAAATAAATGAAATTTGAATTTGAAGTACATGATATTTTTCATAACCAGAGTTATAACTACTAGACCATTGAACGGATTCTTTTTACTAAAGAAGGGAAGTTAGACAAGTCAATCCCCAGACTTTATAGATAGAGGATGATACATCCGTGGAGAAGAAACAACAATTGATGAATGGCTTGCATGCTAAAAAACAGTAGTAACTGAAGTTTGGGGAAATGCATGACAGCAAAGCGTACATAAACTTCAACTTCGCACCTCAATTTTCTCTTTCCTGGCAACAGAGTCCCAGTCCTTTGCTGCAATTCCAGTCTTCCAATCGATATTGATGCTTACATCCCCTTTTACTGAATTATGTTCAACTAGCCAAAAACATGCAAGATAGTTGCCAGCTTCGGTAGTTGTAAATGCAAACTGACCATGTGTTACATTCTCTGAGTGATGAACGGTATTCCCATAAGGTGATGTTACCTGCATGAACATATCGAGTTTTTCACTGAACTATTAAGCAAGGAAGGAACACCACTAAAGATGGGCTCTACCAGATAAAGAAAAAATATGCATGCAAGAAAGAAAAGCGTCTCAGAACATTGTGGTTCCACCACATGATGCATCAATTGACACCTTCCTTCTTCTTGCATAAATTTCAAAGGTCAATAGCAAGAATCAAGATTATAAAAAGGTAGCAGATCCATGCCTTTGGCTCACACAGGCTGATCAACAAATTGTTTCAGATTAGGCATATTAGTAATAAACACTAAGCAGGAAGAATCCCAACCAACCACTTTGTCAGCTGCCAAGAGAAACATATCCTAACTGCTCTACCCATACCATACACTATCCTTTCTATAACACAAAAGCCCTAAACTTCAAAAAATCTTTTCAAATAATATAGTGCAAGGAGGCATTTCTGCTTGTTTTGGAAATCAGTTCATATTACAATGCTTCTTGATATCAATTATTAAGTATTGACAATCTACCCACTGTACTAATTTTTGAAAAATACCAAGTATACAACTTCATTAAACTTTTGTTCTCAGAAGGGTGGCTACTACGTTAGAATTATTAATATTGATGAAGTTTAAGAGAAGATCTAGCACTATGGCAAAGTAACTCTTATCAGTAACTAGTCTAAAATTTGTCCTAAACATCATAGCCTTTTCCCCTCCGGGAAGAAGGCTTTGGACATCAATCCTCTACACACATCATATTGACAGGAGCCTTGTGCCATGAATATGCCCTTCAGTTGCACATTCACCGAATCACAATACGTACCAGAAATCTTCTCCCACTCTCTCTCTTCGTCAGTTCATTATTCGTAGTCCTGATCCTAAAGCTATGAGCCCACAATAACTCCAAACACATCTATAGACTTTAAATTCATGTAATTCCATTTCCTAACTTTTCTCCAACCCTGATATTACCTTGTCATATAGAAAAAATAAAAATGAACATAATGAACATAGAACAATCTCTATATAGTGGGAAAATATTGCAACTTTCTTGGCCATCTTAAATATCTGGTATAAACAGAGCCTAATTTCTCTAATAAACAGTTAATAAAAATAAAAATGTACAAAATAAAAGTTGTAATATTAATTTAAAGAAATGGTAAAATTGATTAAACCCTAGGATATGAAATATATATATATATATATACCTTGGTGGAAATAGTTGGAGTGGGATGGGAATGATCATCGGAAATTACGACATAATCGGCTAAAACGACGACGTTGTTGTGGATTTCCTCCGATACGCACTTGGTACCAGACGCCGGTAAGCTCAACCATACGGCTCCGACCTTCTCCGATAAGCATAACAGCGATAACAGCGCCGAGAGCACTAATCCCCTGTGGACGTTAGCTCTTCTCCCCATTACTCCCTCCTTGTCAGAATTCGTGTTGTGGAGACTGGAGATATATCAATCGGATCTTCAGAACTGGATCTTGTCCCCTCTGATTGGCATTCGGGGCGGGGGGTATTTTCGTTTTTTTCCTGTTACTGTTTCTTCGGGAATAATATTTGGAAATTTTTTAATTTAGTTTTAGGTAGAAAAGATGTTAATTGGGCCAATATGGTACGAACGCTGAAGAATTAGTGTCGAATGGCCATGGGCCTGTCTTCTTTAATCAACTATCAATTGAGGCCCAAACTGAGCTTCAAAGATTTTCCTATTTCAGTTTCTTTGGTAGCTTTAATTTAATTTAATTTATTTTATTTTTCTGACAAAAACAACTGTCAAAGAAACAAATTAATATAGAATTAGGTCTTTAGACAAACATCTTTCCTTTTGCTTGTTCAAAATTTTGACTACTTATTTTTAAGTTCGTTTAAAAGGCCATATCTTCGTGATAAAGCAGCTAAGATTTATAGGAACAACTTTGAATATATTATTAATGCGATTAATATATATTGATTAGGAATTTTAAATTAATGTCATAAATCGGCAAGATGGGCGTTTCTGCTAAAACACAATCAAGTTCGGAGTTCGGAGTTCGGACCAACCTTAAAAGGTTAGTATCATAAGTTAAAATATGCAATATCACGCATCTCAAGTCTTTTCCACTTTGCTATCTTCTTTATTTATTTTAAAAATATAAAATGTAAATCAAATGCAATTGTTTGGATTGTAGTTTTTTGCAGAAAATTCTTTACGTTTCCTGTGAACATATTTTAAAATTATTTTATATATATATATATATATCAAATTATTACAATATATTCATGATTTTTACCTTTTCTGCGGTTTCATCACTCCCAGGTTTCAACGAGAGAGGGGCAGGGACGGTCAGTTAATAGCTAAAATTTGGCCAACAAAATTTGTAAGATCTAGATTTTAATATGTGTGGAATCCACAAAATATTATACTAGTGTTACTCGCTGTTGGTCTCGTGTGACATCGTATACAAATACTGTTATACCGTGTGCAAAATGCACACAAGTTTCCGAAACGGTTGCACTGACAACAGTTCCAGGCCCGGGTCGGGTTTCAATGGTCATAATGGAACACTCTTGCCAGCCAATGCCTAATTTTGTTGGCTGCCAGAGATGTGTGGGCTATGAGTCATAAATGGGCAGAGTCAACATCATCTTATTCCAATCGAACAAATGCTTGCTGGTGCTAGATTTCTAACTTGTTGGTAATTTCAATTTTGACAAATGATGCTCCTACTGGCCCACCCTACCAGCAGTAATCTAGATTCCCCAACTATGAAAGGGATAATCTTACCCAAATCCATAGAAAAAGGAAAAATGTAGCTACATGGAAAAGATGCAGAAAAGGATACGCCAACCAATTTGCACGTATTTTCTTCTTCAGAATCAGTCCTAATGAACCTATCTCCTTGTAACACTTGCAATTTTTCCTTCTGTTAAAAGGCATACACTTCTTTGGTTTTTTATTTCTTTACTTTCCTCAATGATAGTAGAATGGTGGGGCATATTCTAATTTACAGTAAATCTTGTTGTAAACGGTGCAGTACATAGGTAGAAAAGAATTAACTAAGCTATATCCAATTCAATCATGCACTTAAAAATTAGAAAAAAAAAAGTTGTTTTGATATCTAAACTTTGACACATGAGTGATTTTAGTTCCTAAACTTTGCATAAAAGTAAATCTAGTATCCAATCTTTCAACTTTTAAACATATTTAGTACTCTTGAGCTATTTTTTCCAAATTGTAACCGGAAAGAATCATGTGATAATCACAGTTTAGACAATTATTGTATAAAAAATACCAAAAAATAGTCCTCAGACTTGGTGCTACAATAAAATTTAGTCCTCAGACTTGGTGCTTAGTGTCAAAAAGATATTTTATCTTAATTTTTTGGCATTCTTTATAAAATAGTCGCCGAACATGCGACTATCACATGACTCTTTTCAGTAGAAATTTGGGAAAAAATTATTAAGGATACTAAATATGCTCAAAAGTTGAAAGAATGGGTACCAAATTTGCTTTTGTTCAAAGTTTGGGGACTAAAAACGCTCATGTATCAAAATTTGGATACCAAAACTGCATTTTTCTCTAAAAATTTCACTTATTTGTGTCCTCAGAAGAAGGGAAAAATAATCTGTAATTGCAAGTATGATGTACTTTCTGCAGCATTGCAATAAACGTTCAAATTGTCAAAAAGGGCAATCTTACAATAGGAGCAGAAATGAGATAAGAACCCAAAATAATGGCATGAGATAGCGTACCGTTGGAAAGTGATCTTTCTGTTCAATTTTCTCCACACAGACAAAGTCATGTGGCTGTAAGTATAGTGGTAGTATTGGATGCGGCCCTTAATATATATGATTCTCTTTCCACTCACTCACTGCTCACCTTTTCTCCTCAGGTAAAACCAAGCCAGCCATCAACAGGGCCATCACCGGTTGATCATCTCCGCCCCTGATTCAAGGAATGGAAGCTCTGATTTATCAGTTCACAATTCTCTCCGATGAGGCTCTTCAAGACAAGAACTTTGATCCATCTACAATAGAAGATCTCATGAGGCTCTTCGAACTGGAGTCCTACAAGGCCTGGGCGGCCATGGAGCTTGAACAGGAAAAAGAAGTGCAAGAAGCTGAGAGTTGCGTGGAAGAAGCTGAGGAATATCTTGACTCTGTCATGGAGAGTGCCATGGAGGAATTTCGTCGGTTCGAGGAGGAAATGAACAGGGCTTGCCAGGCTGAATATGATAGCTTAGTTAATGTGGCTGAAAGTGCAAGGAAGATGGGAAGGTCTTTGGAAAAAGCAGCTACAAATGCTTCCAAGAAGTATATTGAAGCTGCAATGAACTCAGCTACTGCATCAATGAAATCAGCGATGAAAGCCCTTTCTTCTAAATATAAAAAGGTTCATCCATCTTAGGTCAATTATCATTTTCTCTGCTCCCTGTTAATTGTTGGTGGCTTTTGGACTTTCCAGCGACAATACACTAGTACCTGGCTAGATCCCTTTCAATGGATCTAAGAATTGGTTTGATTGTGCTCCTGACATTGGTAATAATCTTACTGATATCATGATTTACAGTCTGTTTTGTCATCATCTGATAAAAGATGCTCCAGTAGAAGGATATTAACTCCTTTGAATATTTGAATATTTCTGGGTATTTTCGTCCATTGAATCTACTTGGCTATTAGGATTAGTGAACCTGTAAACTGTTTATTACCCAGTGGGAAAGAAAGCAAGTGGTAGAGAAAACCTTTTATTGCTTAAATGTGTGATCTTATGTTTTCACTCGGCGACAGAAGTTTGTCATGGCTAATGAAGAAAGTCTTCACCTCAAAGTTCCTGAAGTGCTTGTTGATGCTCAAATTTAGAATTTGGGTCACAATTCCCAGGTCCTTTTATGTCTAGAAAGTTTACAATCTCTCTGATTTTATTTGTTTCACAATAATGTAAGAGGATCTAAACCTATAATTTATCCCAAGATAATCACTCTGAATAAAGAAAGCTCTAAATCGTCTGTTTCAAGCAATGATCACTTGTCGCAGTCCCAAGTTCAGCATGGTTGCGATGATCCTATATTTGATTCCAGTTAGTGCTCAATCTTCCCGTGAAATTTGCATTTGGCATGGTTGCTATCTTTGTCTATGCTTTTTCTCAGAAGAATTACCGAGGAGCGACATCTTTTGCTCTCTACCCTCCTTTTTACTTGGTGTCTCCACTGAAGAGAATTAACCATGCACCCTAAAAGCCTCCTTCTAGTTGGCAGCTAAGACCGATTCTGAAGCAGTGAATGTTGGACTTCCAGAGCCTTCCTAATCTGCATGGAAAATTATGAGTATCTTGTTTGATTCTGGTTCACAATTGAACCTTGGAAGAAATATATATCCAGACATAGAAGCTCATTCAATGTATGTTTCTTGAGAAAGAACAATGATCATTTCATTGAGCTTGATGGAAATCTGCATAAATGACAGTGATTACATGCATCAGATACTGCAATACATCAAGATGATGGCAATTAGGATTAGTCTTGTATATGGATTCAAATTTATGCAAAAGCATCATAATGGTTGATGCTTGCTTTCTGAGAACGACTTGGGATTATGGTCAGATTGCAGATACTATTGTCACTTGCACAAATGATGAGTGCATCCACCATAAGTTCTTTAAGTGGTTAACACCAGAGCAGGACCCAGCACTGAAATTGCTTTCGTAACTGGCCAAGTACAGCAAGAATTTTTCACATCCCAACAAGAAGTGATCTGTAATTCGCTTGACAACAAGAAAAGGAGATGAGTTAGTGGCAGTGTTTTCCATACATATGTCTGTGACTCAATATGGATGTTTGGATATCAAATTTCGATAGTAAATTTTTTCAAATAATATTTTGCTTGCATCATAAACACATTTTTTAATCCACTTTTTTATTTCACATACATCACATTACAAAAAGTACTACAGTAATTATTCCAAATAATATTTCAAACAATACTCTATCCAAACAAAAAATTTTAAAATATTATTTTACTTGTATCATAAATATATTCTTTATTTAATATACATCATATCACAAAAAAATGTTATAGTAATTATTTTGAATAGGTTGTTTTGCTAAATTAGGCAAGGGTCTCCCTTTAGACAATGGTCTTCAGAAAAAGAAAAAGAAGGGCCGATTTGGTGCACAGAATCCAAAAACGATTTACAAAGCAGGGCAATCGTCAGGAGCAATTTTTCTTCATCTTCATTATTAGAAAGCTGTAGTTGATTATCGATCCGTGAATATTTTGTGAAATAGTTTGAGACAATTTTTATCTTCTGCAAATAATTCGCAACAAAATTTTCATGCAACTTCACCTGGGAACTGATTGGCCTATCAAGAAGGCCCAAAAGAGCCACAACTGGGTCGTGTAAACAGTTGCGCACTCCCAAACTTAAATGCGAAATGTTATCCAACGGCCCAACAAGAAGGTCCCAAAAATCACAAAATCGTTACTAAACGAGAAATCACGGCCATTCATTTCTCGGGAGGGATGAGGATTAAGATGGCCCACTAAAACTCTCAGAGTCCTTTGTTGTTTAGCAACCCGGGCAGCCCCGTGTACACATTTTATCACAATTCACTCAAACCAAAAACCCTTTTGTTTCGTTCACTCCCAAATCACTCTTCAATCACACACTTCCTCTCTCTTTCTCCGTCTCGCTTGTATATCATCCTCTTCCAGTCTTCCTTCACAGCAAGCAAGGAACTTCCACATCTCTCTCCAATCTCTCAAGCCATGTCTGAGGTGCTTTTCTTTTCAAAATTTTTCAGTAATTTTGCAATAACTCGCTTAATTTCTCCTTGTTAATCGCAGAGCAGATAATTGCATATAATTCAATCGAGTGGGAGTAGGAAGCTAGTAAATCAGTTGCTCGAGTTTTATGGGTTTTTTTTTCCGGTGTTTTCGTTCCGAGTTTTGTCTATATTATTATTTATTTTATTTTGTCGATGACTATAGATTAAATTAAGTAGTCAATAATTAATATATTGATTACTTTACCTTTTTTGAAAATTTTTTTACCTGAATTTTGCAGGAGGTTAAAGATGCTCCCGCACCGCCAAAGGTTATTGATGCTCCAGCTTCCCCAGAGGTTGTAGATGCTCCAGCACCGTCGAAGGCTAAGGATGCTCCTTCACCAGCAGCTGGTACTCGCTCGTTCTATCCGTATTTTTATTCCTGAAGTCACATATACGTGTCCTTCGTGTGTGTTTTATTTATGTTCATAATTGATTCATATCGGAGCCGGGAGATAAAGTGTATAAGGTTGTGAAGGTTATAGTCAACTCGTTTGCAACTTCCGGCAGTTGCCATTAGGGGAAGAATTGTTAGATTTCCGCTATTTGCTTTTTACTTTTTTGTCAATTGCCATTCAGCTTAATTTGTCGAAAAGGTGCGCCATTTGGCAGTCATTTTCAAGGTTTGGATGCAAGATTGTGTGCTCTTTCAGGTTGTGAGTTGATTTAGATCAAATGGTTATACTTGTCAAATTTGTCCCTAGCTGCAATATGCCTTACAACGAGACTTCCAGATGTAGTGAAATTGTTGTCCATTGGTCAACTCCTGGTTTATTTTCCCATTGAGAAATGGACGGTGTCAAGTAGTATTATGATTGACTGGGTATGATGACCATCGAAGGCCAAGTTTGGTGGTATCACCAGATGATGTCAGCATGATCATCTGAAGCATATCATTCAGTTTTGGGAAAGCTTTGGTTGCTTAGAAAGTAAGAACTGTTGGAAGACCTTGATCTGCTTTGCAACATGTCGATGGTTCTTCTTAGAAACCTAAAAGCTTTAGTAACATGTTGGTGATGGGAAGTGAGTCAACACTGAACAGCAATCTGAGATGAGAATTCTGAAATTCAGCTGCTTATTGTTTGTTTCTAGGAACTTTGAGGGGATCTAGATAGTAATACATTTGTGCACACATATTTCCTAGTCATATCCATCTATGAGATCTGGGACCTACAAAACAACAGTGGAAAAGAGTACAAAGAGTTCTCGTAGTGCGTTAGGGCCACCATAATTTTGTAACATTTCAATGTAAAGCAATGGTGACAATAGCAGGCAATAAGGTTTTTCTTTTTTATCTTTAAAAATGAAAAGAAAAAACGCGTTCATAAGGTGTAACTCTTTTCAAAATAATTCTGCACATGAGAACAGACTGAGGTTTCATCTTCTAGTGGCATGTAACTTTCTTTGTGTTACAGTTGTCTGTTCCTTAATTGGCATTCCATCACCGTTCTAAATGTGAAAAGTGTGATGGATGCATGGAAGGATGAGACAAGATGTAGCATTCCAAGCTAATTATAAGTTTGATATCTCTCTCTCTCTCTCTCTCTCTCGCAAGAGGGGAGAGGAGGTGGTGGGCCAAGCAGTCTGCTACATGTGGCTTGCTGCTGTTTGCTTTTGAAAGTGATTTAACATTTTATCCAACCAGTTTTCTAAGCTATATGTCCATTTGAGGGTTTATCTTGCACTTTCTGCTAAATTCTGATATCTTCAATCTCTAAATTTAAATCATCTCTGAAGAAAATTATGTATTCTCTTCCCCCCCCCCCCCCAAAAAAAAATCAGAAGAAAAGGCTGGTGCCATGGAGAATAAACGTAGTTCTGAATCAACCTCTGTGGAGACACAATCAGAACAGAGTTCTACAACCTCTGCAGCTGGAGTGCCGCTACAAAATCCTTTCGATTTCTCTGCAATGACGGGCCTACTAAATGTAATTCTTTTCGGCATGTCTTTTTGAGTTGAATAGTAATTGTATCATTACATGTTGAGTGCACCATAGCTTGACACTCTTCTTGTCAGTTGCTAAACAAACTTATTTTTTAATAATTCATGGAAAATGACAATGAAATTGACATCCACATTAAGGTCAATGTGTGGCTGGAATCTGAAACCTGGAACTTTCATTATGGGAAACATATATTGAGGATGGATCTGGTTGCTTTTTAACATAGAATTTTATTCTGGGTACCCAGTTAAAACATTTTTTAAGTGCACTGACTTGGATATCTTCCAAATATGCTTTAAATATTCTTGTGTAACATTTGATTTATGTCCTTATGGCTCATGGTGACATATCCATGGTGCTGTTTTGACTCCCAAGTACTAAGTTATGGATGTTTTTGATGATGTTTGTAAGAAAAAAATTCTAAACATGTTTACCCATGCCTTTCTCTCTGATGGTTGGCTTTGTCTCTGTTGTCCAGTCCTGAATTTTTGTTTTTCCTACTACATTACATGTCATGGTAGCTATTCTCTTGTAAATCCAATCTATACAGAAGAAATTGCTGACTACTTAGTTTTCAGTTGAAAATGAACATAGGGCTCAAGTCATACCCTGTATCTTCATTTTAATTTATGAGGCTGTTGTCTCTCTATGAAGTGTTCAATCATGATATGAGTTTGGCTTCTTATTCTGTCTGTCTATCTATCCTTCAATGGTTGATAGATTTTCAGGCTTCTCTTTTCATCAAGTTGTAGTATTTCATTTTGTAGCACTATACAGATTTGTCTGTGGATACAAAACTCTTTTAGCTTTTTCCCTGGAATGAACATTCTGTGACTTGTCAATAAGGTTCACAACCTACCTATCTAGTTTTCCTCATACGTTATATTACTGCATCAGCAATTGTAAATGGTAAATGTAGTTATTTAATATTGCTTTCTGAAACCCCGGTAATGTGACAACTATAGGACCCGAGCATCAAAGAATTAGCCGAACAGATTGCAAAGGACCCTTCTTTTAATCAAATGGCAGAGCAGCTTCAGAAGACCTTTCAGGGTGCGTCAGTGGATGAGGGTACCCCTCAGTTTGATACACAGCAATACTACACTACAATGCAGCAAGTTATGCAAAATCCACAATTTATGACAATGGCTGAGCGGCTTGGCAATGCTTTAATGCAGGTTTGTGCCAATTTACTTTATGTTGGTGCTTCATGAATATATGTTTATAGGAAGAACAGCATTAAAATA